AAAAGAAAGTAACAAAGGAAAAAGTTGAAAAGAAAATATGCAAGAAAGAGAAAAACAGAAGAGTGGAAAAGGCAGATCTTGGAGAGAGAGAGAGAGAGGAAGAGAAGAGTAATCAACAGAAAAATGAACAAAATGAGGGAAGAAAAGAGGAACAAACAGGCGCAGAAGACGGAGACACAAGAGTTGCAGACACACCTACATACATACACACATACGCAAAACATACACACATATATATACAAATACACACAAAACACATGCATCATTAGCTACACAAACACAAACTGGACATGAGACACAAATAGTAATGTAAGATATAAAAAATCCAAATGTAATATAAGTTGTAAATAAATATTGCAACGGTAGTCGATTTAATTCGCGATTCTGTTTCTCGCGCGTTAGTTCGAACTATTGAGAGAGAGAGAGGGGGGGGGGGCGCGATCTTTTGAATAGGCAGTTTCGCCTCAGCTGTTCACGAGAGTTTACCGCGGTTTTGTGTTTTGCACTTTGTTTCGCAAAAAGTAAAGTTTTCTTTACGTGCGTGAGTGCAACGGCATTTTCGTGACAGATAATAGCAGCAGTACAGAAACAGCAACAAAGATATATTGAGGCTGATCGAGGCAGCGCAGCTGATAATAGACGGGCAGCGGCAGTTGAAATTTTTACAACAACAATTACGGCTGATCACCGTAATTGCACCGCATGGTAGGTGCACCTCCCGTCATATTAAGCGATACAAAATACTTTCGATATTTTGTATATTCATGATAGTGTTATTTTTTTGTATATTCGCGCCAAGCGTTAATTCGCGGTAATATTCTAATCTTTTTTCTCTCTCTTTCTCACTGAAAATAGTTAATTGGAAAATCCTATTTGCGAGCGTTAGTCTTTCGGCCCTACAAAGACTGTAGTGATTTTTTGTTAATTAAATTCTGTTAAATTTATTCGCCGTTTTCGTCATTTAATTTTCCTAGTAGCTTAAGTAATTGAAAAAGGCTTAGGTTTTAATCCAATTACGTCTAGGGGATTAAGAAGATTAGGAGTAAAGTCGCTCACACTTAAAACTCATCAAGTGTAACAAGACACGTTACTTAAGGTGAGTTCAACTCCGTTCGATAGAAGACAACTAGGATAAATCATCTGACGTTAAGGCGAATACACGTATTATCATACGTGTTTAACGGAACGGCGGTTTGCTCTGCATCGTGGGAGTTTGTTCTTAAATAAATTTCCCATTTTCAGATTTATCTCCCCCGTTAGAATATATATATATATATATATATATAAATATATTTATATTTAATATATATATTTAACTTATGTATAATATTAATATATATAAATATAATTAACTCATAATAAGCAACGTTTATTAGGGAAACTACCTTTCGTCAAAAAAATGTGTTGATATGAATTGCCGCAAATAATTACTTTAATATTCGCTAGGAATGGCCATTTTAAACTGCTGCAGGAGTGGTTATTATGGAGCGTGACAAATGAAACCTGGTATGCAAATAGACTATAGCAATTTTCATTAGAAAGACCACCTCACGTTGAAAAAAATTGTGTTGCTATGAAATGCTTCAAATAATACTTTGAAATTGGCTGGGAACGGCTTTTTCAAAGTTCTGCAGAGACAGTTCTTAATGAGCGCGACAAACGAAACTTGATACGAGAATAGACCTTAGCAATGTTTATTAGAAAAATCACCTTTTGTTAAAAAAAATTGCGTTGCTACAAAATGTTGAAAATAATAACTTCAAAGAAATTCGCCGAGAACGAGCATTTCAAAGTGCTGTAAGTCTCCGTTTATTGCATATTTTTTTGTTAATAATAAGTACAATCAGTTTTATCCCATGTTCCTATAGTCTGCCATGTAAAAAATATTCTAACGGTAGTTTTAAGGATAAATATTGTATTTATGATGTATTACCTTAATGTGATTACTATATTAACCGTTTAAACCAATAAAAATAATTAATTGGTTATTTCAACTTTTTGATTTTTTATTGAATTTTTTATTTTTGATTTAATAACGTTACAAATTTCAGACTCACGATAAAGCGCACATCGAGCGCTATTATGCATGTTTGTTAATTCTGCAATAGGTAATCTTGACTCGTGAATACGTGTGTGCCTTTCCACGGCTGCGGGAAGCAATAAATCTGTGTAGTTAGGTATTCTTGTGTGAAAATCCTTGAACTCTCTCATACAAGCAATCACTAGCGTCCGGTTTCCTCTCTAGCTTAGGATATAATTTGCTATAATTTAGATTTTATTCTATATATGATTATACCATAACATACATAATTATTTGTATTCCATATTTAGTAAATATTTTATCACATATTATATAACATATAATAATTTTTCTATGTATAAAATAAAAATTTATTTTATATAATATTATACCATAACACGCATGTTTAATTTTATTAGATATTCAGTAATTATTACATATTTAATATTATATCATATGCGAGGTGTGTTCAAAATGTAAGGTGACTTTGTATTTTTAAGAAAAAATATTTATTTATTTATCAATATTTATGTTGTCCCCTTCCAAGCAATCCCCCTCAGATACAATACACTTATGCGAACGGTTTTTCCAATCCTCAAAGCACTTCTCATAAGCACTTTTCGGTATAGCCTTGAGCTCTTCCAGCGATGCAGTCTTTATCTCTTCAATCGTTGTAAATCTCCGTCCTTTCATAGGTTTCTTTAGTTTTAGGAACAAGAAAAAATCACATGGGGCCAAATCCGGTGAATATGGTGGCTGAGGCATGATTGTGGTGTTGTTTTTGGCCAAAAAATCTCTCACAAGCAAAGATGAGTGAGCAGGGGCATTATCGTGATGCAAAAGCCATGAATTATTTTTCCACAATTCTGGGCGTTTTCTTCGTATTGCTTCTCGCAAACGGCGCATAACTTCAAGATAATACTGTTTATTGACCATACGTCTATATAGTAAAAACTCCTGATGCACCACGCCATGGTAATCGAAGAAAACAGTGAGCAAAACTTTGACATTTGATCGAACTTGGCGTGCTTTTTTCGGTCTTGGCTCATCTGGGCGCTTACATTGGGACGATTGGACTTTGGTTTCGATATCAAAACCATATACCCATGATTCATCACCAGTTATGACCCTTTTGAGTAAATCTGGGTCGTCGTTGACGTCATTCAACAGTTCTTGAGCGATGCTCATGCGACGGTTCTTTTGGTCAAAATTTAGCAATTTCGGAACAAACTTCGCTAACACACGTCTCATGTCCAAAACGTTAGAAAAAATTTCATGGCACGAGCCAAGCGATATAGAAACATCCTTAGCAACTTCTCTGATAGTGATTCGACGATTTTTCAGAACAATTTTCTTCACTGTTTGAACGTTTTCATCAGTTGTTGACGTGCTTGAGCGTCCAGAGCGAGGCTCGTCATTGGCATCTTCCCGGCCATCTTGGAAGAGTTTGTACCACTTGTAAACATTTTTTTTACTCAGAATAGTTTCACCGTATGCCACCGTCAACATTTCAAGTGTTTCGGAGCACTTCATTTTATTTTTTACACAAAATTTGATGCAAATCCTTTGATCCATATTTTTCGATAGCAAGAAATCGCCGAGCACGCAAAACACTTATAACCTTTACGCCTCTCACAACCAAACAAAAAATGCTATACACTTGAAACTTGGTACAGATGTTCGGGAAGAGTGCACCAACATAACAAAAAAAATCGATAATCGAATGTACGTTGCCCGTGAAATTTGAAGTCATCTTACTTTTTGAACACACCTCGTATAACAATTTTTTTATGTATGAGACATTTTACAAATTAATATTCTGGGTTAATAATACAATTTTATTAATTTTTATTATTCAATGTTATAATCAATGTTGTTATTCCTTTCATACAGTGAATACGAGGTCTGTCCGGAAAGTATCGGGCCTACGTTTATATCTTCGCGCCATAGTGTTCGAGCGACTTCTACCGGATAGAAACGTCAACCGTAAAGCCTCACGAATCTATTATATATATTATATAATATATAATATAATCGTAAGCTTATATGGTATAGAAATAACTTGAAAACGACTTAGTCGATCGATCGTACATCCATTCTGAGACGCGTTTTCTTTTATTCACTTCGTTATAAATTCGTAATAAATAAATGAAAATTAATAGAAGTAAACTGACCATTATTTTCACTTATGTTTCGATAGATTTTTTTCTTAAACCATCTTTCGCCTCCTCAAATCATAACATTATATTATTGCTATGAACTTGTGGTATGTTGAAAATATTTTTTTTATTAATTTAGTCTATAAAGTTTCATTCGCGTTTTTATTACGTTTTACTGTTATTTACTGGTCCTTTATTTATCATCATATTCGAGTGGTGCTCTTAAGCATGCGCTTTAACGTAAATTTTTTTTTCTATATGTATGCATTTCAAAATTTAATTTCTGGAAAAATGAAATTTAATAAGGGTTGGAGATAATAGTGAGAACAAATCATTCATGTTCAATTAATTCTGTTCGATTATCGTGAAAATTTGAATCCACACGTTCATCATGACATCAAACGTATACACGTTATATAATACATGTGCAAGATGATATGTATATACATATGAATAATTATTACAACAATAAGAATTTTTGTTGTCATTAGCAGTCGCCAAATTATCACGAGGTAAATTATTTATCTCATTGCATTTCAAATAGTTTATGGGATACTGAACTTTTCAGGTCGACAGGTTTCCACACCACCCAGGAGGTACTGTTCGGAGTGTGTTCGTGAGAAAAGCGAATTAGTTTTCCTTTATTATTTGATCAGACAAAAATAGATGTATGATGTATTTTATTTTAAATAACGCTGTGTAACTATAGTTTTATATATACTAGAACACCACAGCGCGCCTCGCGCGCCCAATGTTAATAGCGTGCAATATAAAATGTTAATAACACAATAATTAGAATTTGTAAATTGTTAAAAATAATCTCATTGGTACAATTCTGTATAAACATAATTTTTAACATTCAAAGTTTGTCTCTGATTTCCTAAATAAATTTTCAATGAATCCCATGATCGCACTCTAGACATCGCAACATAAAGCTGACCACGATTAAAAACATCTCTTCGAAGATCGATACGAATTTTTGCTAGAGTTTGTCCTTGAGATTTATTGATAGTTATAGCAAAAGCTAATCGAATTGGAAATTGTCGTCTTTTGAAAGTAAACGGATATTGATTTTCACAGTACAATGTAATTCGATTAATAAATACTATGTTATTGCGTTTATCTCCAGTTAATATTTTACATTTCAGTAAATGATTAGAAAAATCAATTACTTGTAATCTTGTTCCATTACATAATCCTTCACTGAGATTAATATTTCTTATTAACATGATTATGCAAAATTTTCTTAAACGCAATTTGTGAGGAGGAAAGTTCGGTGGGTTTAATGAGTTACGATATTCTAGTAAAAGAACTTCTCCCATTTTACCATTTTCACAGCTCTCTGTGCTGTCTATGCCAGTGTATATGTGTTCAGTAGTTTTATCTAATAAATCGGTAATTTTATTATTCATATCGTCTACATCAGCATTTCTGGCTGACAAAATAGCACAATGACTAATTTCATCAAACTTTTTATCTTTAATTAACTTTCCAAAAATGTTTTGAACAATGCATTCATTAGAAGGTAGTATACAGTGGTGTGGAAGCTGTATGTTATTATCTGTATCATTTATAGTTCCATTACCAACATCCAATAAATATTTGGCGAATTCAATTTCATGTGGTAGAACTCTCATATTCGTTTTTAAATGAAATATTGAAAATAATGGTCATAATTGCGAGTTTTTGATAGATAAATTTAAAATTTCATTACGCGTTCCATGAATCTTTATAGGAAGCAATTGTCTAAAGTCACCACCTAAAATCATTATTTTTCCACCAAATGGTAAATCATTGTCCATCAAATTTTGTAATGTTCTGTTAACTATTTCCAAAGCGTATCTTGGAGCCATCGGGGCTTAATCCCAAATAAATACTTTAGTATTTTTTAAAAGTATACCTTCATTAGATTGTATTTTAATATTAGAAGATGAATCATGAAACATAGGAACTGGTAACCCAAAAGTTTTATGTACTGTTTTTCCGTGAGGCAGCAATGTTGCAGCAATACCAGTATATGCCATTGTAGAACATTTAATATTGTCTGATATAAAAGATTATAAATAGTAGTGTAAACAAAAGTTTTTCCAGAACCTCCTTGTCCATCTATGTAAAAGCAAGTTGGCCCAGTATAATTATCAGAACGTGATGCTTCAATAGTTTTATCAACTATTTCTTTTTGTTGAGCATTTAATTTTTGATATTGTTCATTACCAATTTGTAATCGATGATTTCTCTCATCGGTATCATTAGTGTCGATCATTATCTGAATCATAACATTTTGATTCATTGTCGGAAAGTCAGCTAAACTTTTTCCTTCTTTTATCAAAATATCATTTATTTTAGAATAGGCCATTTGGTAACTGATATTCAATTCATTATTACGTGAAAAATCTTCAGACATCGCGTCTTTAAATGTTTCCCATAATTTTTCTGGATAAATAGGTTGATAGTGTAATAATATAAGAACAAATAAATGTCTCAAACGTTTTGGCATCATCCAAGTAACTGCTTCTCTCCTAGCTTTGTTCCATTCATCGTCATCTTCAATAATTCCTAATGCTAAACAGGCTGATGTGAAAGTAGGATGTAATTCATTATCTACTGTTTTTAAGTCGTTATAATTTGTAGCTCCTTTCACATGAAGTAAAAGTAATCTTAAATGAAATAATTCAATTTGCATTGGACTTACTGAAAACATTCTACCTATACATTTAAAATGTTTTTTTCGAGTCTCTCATGAAGAAGTGACTTTACCATTAATTTTTCTTTTCTTGTAGGTAAAATATTTAGGTATTTCAGGATAGTAATATTGTCTTGCTGTTTCATTTGTTGCATTTAAAGTGAAATAATCAAGCAACATACTACTGGAATTATTTAAACAGTTTATCAATGAAGCTTCATCTTCATTCTGTGTAATTATTACAGATTGTTCGTTAGGTAAGTGTATTGGTAATCTTATGACTCTGTGACTTTTATCTTGCAGTGTTTTACTTAAAATTCGATAGCATGCTTTCACAGGACCAACATAACGTGTTTCAATAAAATTACGACATTCATCATGTTCAATAGTGGCACCATTTTCTGCCTGACCAATTACTACGGTAGCAGCATCATGACCTTTATAGATATATTTGTATAAATATTTCACAGCTTTAATACTTGAAACTATTTCCACGTTAATATGGCAATCGAAAATTAGTAATAATTTAGCACAATATGGAACCACCCATCTATTATCTATTTTATGCCCATTAGGACATTTGTAAGAAGTGCCGGTATCGGTTCTACGATAATACGGATAACCATTTTCATCCATAGTAGTCTCTTGCTGAAACTCTTTAGGGAAATTTTTTGAACATTTGCCCTCTTTCATGCACCAATTACCGCAAGGTCCATGAACCATATTTCTTATAACGATATCGTATAGACGTGGATTTCTTATTTTAATTGGTATTTCAGCTGATATAAATGTATCAACTATATCAGACGTAGTTATTTTGTACCCTTGTTCTAATATAATCGATAAATGCATGTGCGGTAATCCCCTTTTTTGGAATTCAATGACATATACGTAAGATGCAACTTTACCAAAGAAACTTTTCTTTACAACCATATCGAGTAAATGATCTTTTTTCAAATCAAAAACTCTTGCTACAATATCTGGCCGGTCAGATGCTTGTTGACTTGGCAATACATTTTCTGATATTTCTGGCCAATTTGGATTGCATATCATTGTGAGAAAAATATCAGGTTTACCTGTTTCATTTACAATAGCCATAGCATCTTGATAACATTGTTGCATATACCTAGGTGAACCAGTAAATGATGAAGGAAGAATTATAGTTTTGCTTACATGACCATTAACATCATTAGCACTATGTGCCATGTAATCATGTAAACCTTTATACGTATCAGCTCGTTATTCTTTCTGGTGATTCTTACAATACTGAATTCTGTCTTGTTCAATTTTTACATAACTATCTACTACCCATTGTTAAAATAGTCTACGCCCTCTTATAATCGGATTGAATTCATTTTCTCTAATAGCTATTCGATGTTTAGTATAACCCAAACATGTGATTTTACGATTAGAATTAACGTCAAACATATTATGATGCCAACCACGCGTACCATATGGGTAAAATAAAGGATAAACCGATGGTTCTACGTTTGGATCCAAGGAACTAACTGTTTCTAAGAGTTTTGTATTTTTATTTCGTATGGTAATATATGATTCGGGTATTTCTCCATCAGCAGTTGTTGAAAAAATTGCAGCAACTTCATTAACTCTTTGAAAATTATATCGACGATGATCTTGACCAGGTTTCAATGAAAATAATAACGTCAGTTCTGAAGGTGATGAATCATTTCTTATATCATTTATTAATTGTTGTGCACGTATTTCTTCTTTCATCATTTCATACGATTTAGCATAAATATTTTTATTGCGAATAATTGTGTCTAGAATTGACATTAATTCATAATCTATAAGAGGATTTTGTTGAATTCGATAATCTAAAGCTTCATTTTGATCTATTATAAAAAGTTGACCATATGAAGGACTTTCGCCATTGTCAGGATATAAAGCTGTATTCATTTGATAATAGATTTGGCCTTGAATTTTAAAACAATATGGTCCTGATCGACGCACTTGAAAATTGGCTAAATTAGCATTAAATGAGGCGAAAGATAAAGAGTTATTATAATTGCGTATACGTTCGAAAAACATTGATGATTTATCGTGATCTCCATTGAACAATGTTTTAAGTTGAGGTGGAAAATCCGGAAATTCTTCTAGTTTTATTGATCCATGACTACAACAGTCATTGAAAGATAATCCTTTGTTAGAAACTTTTTCATCTTCAAAATGTTTTGCTTGGCAGTGCATGCATAAAATATTCATCAGCCCTAAGTAATCTTTTTCAACTATATCGTTGGAAATACGATTATTATCAGCAATGCATTGCCGAGTCGTTTGTCGTCTACGACGTTGATTTTCATTTTCACGGATTCGTCTATTTTTTTTAGCAACATCTGCTTAGATGTCCGTGTGTTTGTTTCTGCCCATAATGTAAATTCTTAATGATAAGTTATTTAGTAATTATTAACTCGTCAAATGAATATAAAGTTAAAACACTTTTAAATTATACAATTTTGAGAACTTATCGAAATCCTGTAAATTTTCGACATCAATAAAATCTTGTTTGATTTATTTTTTGGACTTTAGTTTGGGTTAATTTCAAATCTAGTTTAATTTCGTTTGGGTTGTTTGGTTTAAGCTTTGGTTTCGTTTGGTCTGGTTAGGTTAAGCGAGGTATAGATATTTATAAATAAATATAGTACATTTATTATTTAGATATAAAAATATATTTACAATTTCAATAAATATAACATTATGTTAATGTCAGAATCTAATAGTGTTGGAATCGTATAATAATTTAACAAATGAGTTGTAATCTAGACAAACAGTAGAACCTGAAACATAAATATAATAATGAATAATACAGTTTTTGACACAATCACAGTGTTTTAAAATTAATGTACTCACCAACACTATATCAGCACAAGCCACAATCCTTAGAATACGAATAAATCTGAAAAAATAAATGTGGTAGTCAACAATCTATTTAATCGAATAGTAGCTATAGGTATATAAATAATAATTTATGTTACAAAAGATACAAACATGTGTCATATATCTAATTCAGAAATTAAGCTTATTGTATTGATTACACTACAGTTGGCCTTCTTTTTACTGTAGATTTTTCTAGAAATTATTATTGATCCTTTAGAAAATTGTACTTCATGTGCATATGTGCAATATTGTATTAGATACTTTAGATAACAATTTAATTAAATTAGTATTAGATATAAAAATAAAATTATTTTGCAAGAATTTTGCACTGCAGATTATTATTCTATAAAATATTACAGAATTTTAATCGAACGAAAATTTTCAAATTCGTATGAATCTGAACTAATTTTAGCATAATTATAATACAGTTACCTTTGCATTTATAATCCAAATGGATTTGATATAATATTGCTGATATTGACGCTGTTTACTGTTACTTTAAGGTTAACTGAAAATACATGTTGATTGAAACATGCATCACTTATATTTTTTATAACCGATGAGTAGCGCTGCAAACTTATAATTTTGAATAATCAAAATTAGGTAAACAAACAAAATATCACAGATAAAATTTGTATATTAAGCACAAAAAACTGTTGGCTACGTGTTGACTGCACGCTCAACTAACTCAAATAAGATGCTGTCTAATATGTACAATACAATGGTGGTCAAGTGCGCATGCTCACGTGATCAGCTTTAAGGGGATCCTCCTATAGATGAGTCGAAAAATCGATTTTTTTTATTGCATAAATCGAAAGTACAACATTTCGAGAGTATGCTGTTAAAATTTTATAGAGCTATTTGAAATATTATAGCCGCTGTAAATATTTCAGCTGACGGTCTCGAGCGCTGGCCGCACGCGGCGCAGGTAGGCAGGTACGCACTCGACTAAACTTTAATTGCTATTTTCTCGAAAAAAAATTTCTTGATTTTCCAAGTTGGCGTAGACCAAGTAAATCACCAATAAAATAAATTATTTACATGAAATTACAAAATATTCAAAGTTTGTTAGAAATAAATGAATATCTTTTCTAGATAACATTTTACTATTTTAATTTCAAATTAATACTCAGTTACAAAGTAATGAAACAAAATTTAAGGGATACATACTATATATATTAATAGCATTCATAATACATAATGACATTTATGTACATTGTTACATTAATTTAAATAAAATATATGTTTTGGAACAATATTATGAAATGAGCGACACATTTTTTTTTACAATAAATTGCAATGGTAATAAAAAAGTAATGACATTAATATTATTGAGTATTATATTTTAGTTACATAATTTCTTATTTTTAATGAAATATTTCAACTATATCTTAAGATAATTTATGATTAGTGTAAGTGCATTATTATGGTAGTATATGAGTTACATTTTTACAGCATGAAAGATTTAATATTACAAAATGTATCTATACATCAGTCGTTTTTCTATAAAATAAAATTATGATACCATACTATTAAAATTACATTTTCTAAATAATTAGATTTAAAATCACATTTGTATTTTATTAATATTCTAATAATACTAATGTATTTGGCAAAATGTGTGCACTCAATGCAAAAACATTAAGAAAATTATTTTTTATGGAATAAATATATAAAAATACGAACGAAGATTTATATGACTTATATAGAATAATTAAATTCGTTTTTGAATCATATCCCCTCTTCGGATTTTTAATACCATGTGCAATCTCCACCATATTCATTTTTGAAGCACCTGGAATTTCAATTATAGAGTTGACATCATTAATTACATCACATTAAGATTTCCTCTTGTTTTTTTTGCATATTAACCTAGTTTGTAAGTATTTTTGTATATTTGTATCTAAATGTAAAAAGCCGAGAAGACTGTACATGAGCAACAATAAACATTCTATTCTATAAAATACGACTTTATAAAAACGTAATATTGTGCTAATCTAATTTAACGTAAAATTAACGATTTTTAAAAGAATTTATCGATTTAGTATATTATTCATTTTTTGGTTGTCTGATTTTACTTTATTATCATTTTTATTTTCGTTGTTCGATTGTATTTTCTTTTTTGATTCTTCGTTACACTTTTCATTGTTATCCCTACAGATTTTTATTACTTTAAGTCTTAACAAAAATTTTAAAGCATGTATTCTATGATTATAACAAGGATTATTTTTATCAAACCATTCGGGAAACTCTATATTCGTTGATTGTTCTACTACTTCAGTTAAGTTCTTAATTAATTGTCTGTGGTGCCAAAGACTAAGATAATGTTGCTGAAATCCATATATCTTTTCAAGTAAGATATTTGAGGAAGATTTTCATCAGAATGTTGATATTCTCTACGGTAAATATAATACTCGTCATCAGTAATTGAAGTGTCAGCATTTTCTAGACATTCAATCTTGCATTGCTTGCATTTAATTTTCTTCAAGAGCCCATTTACAACAACGCCCGCCAAATAATCAATAGCATTTCTTTCGTACAAATATTTCTTTTCAAAAATATCCATTATTTCGTAATGTTGTAATATTTCTGCGAATTCTTTTACTTCTGCTAATTCTTCCGGTGTTTCTAAACCCCCAGGTAAATCTAGTAACGCATTTAATAACGGATTTACATTATCATTTTTCGTAGCTTTTAAACTAGGATCTATCAAGGAAGGAGCTTCATCTATCTTCTCATTACCTCGCTTACGAACGTATATCAACATAGTCTGAACAAGGTGCTTCATAGTTAAACGATACATTCTAGCTGTTGGATTTGGACACTGTCCATTTCTCGCGCGAACTTTGGAATTGGTGTGCTCAACGCTATCTTGGTTGCAAAGACCGGCAGCTTATTCGAAATCGGGAAATGACTTTTTTAAATCTTTATATAATTCTAACAATGCCGTTACGGTCAGAGGAATACCCCTGAAACATGGAGGCCTTGAAATTTCGACATTTTTTCCGTTTTTACTATTAACTACTTTGTGTGTTTTCCATTTTTTAGACCATGAGACAAATTCTTGAAGAAGCTTTTGCATTTCTGGATTGCGATCTGATAATGGACGCTTCTGCTGTTCACGATTGACAAGTTTATAAACATTGCAAGCATCAATTACTTTATCTAATCTTCTAATGAGCTCCACAGAATCTTGCAATGGATCAGATTTCAGTCCATTTACCTCATTTCGTTGGCCAGCTTTACCTGCAAGTTCCATTGCAGATGCCATTCTCCTACTTAAAAGTTGAAAATCCAACGCTGCTTTCATG